CATAGCTTTTCCTAAGCTTGGGTACATCAGAATACCAATTTAATAATAACTAATATAATAATCATTTCCCCGAAGATCTACGACACGGCCTACCCCCAAAAAGAGATATCCAGCACAAGATCGACCTCATTTCTGGGGCTGCCTTACTGAACAAACCAGCCTATAGAATGATTCCCGAATAAACAAAGGAGATCCAACGTCAAGTGGATGAGTTAATAGCAAAGGGCTTTGTTCGTGAAAGCCTAAGTCCTTGTGTTGTTCCGGCTTTGTTGGTACCATAGAAAAATGGTATGTGGAGAATGTGTTGTGATAGCCAAGCCATTAACAAGATCACCATCAAATATAGGTACCCCATACCTAGGCTCGAGAATATGCTGGACGAACTTCACGGTTCGAAGGTTTTCTCGAAGATTGATCTTAGAAGCGGTTACCACCAAATCCGTATCTTCGAAGGTGACAAATTGAAGACCGCCTTCAAAACGAAGTTTGGCCTCTACGATTGGTTGGTTATGCCATTCAGGCTGACCAATGCCCCGAGCACATTCATGCAATTGATGAATCAAGTATTGAAGCCATATATAGGTCACTTTGTCGTGGTCTACTTTGACGACATATTGATCTATAGTAAGAGTGAAGAAGAGCACGTTAACCACCTCACCTTAGTGGTTAAGAGATTGGATGAAAAGAAGCTTTATAGGAACCTTGAAAGGAGCCAATTCTTCTCACAAGAAACATGAGTTCTTGGGATATTTTATCTCAAGTGAAGGCATCAAGGTGGACGAGAGGAGAACGCAAGCCATAAGGGATTGGCCCATTTCCACGTCAATGCAGCAAGTATGGAGTTTCCATGGTCTCGCATCATTCTACCGAAGGTTCGTGCGAGACTTTAGCACCATCACTGCACCACTCACAGACCTCACCAAAAACTAGAAGTTTGAATGGAATCCGAGAGCTCAACAAGCCTTCGAAACCATTAAAGAACGGTTGACACATGCCCCCGTGTTAGCCTTGCCAAGCTTTGAGAAATTGTTCGAGGTCAAATGTGGCGCATTCGAAGTTGGGATAGGAGTCGTCCTCTCCCAAGAAGGCCACCCGGTGTCCTATTTCAGCAAGAAGTTGAATGATGTCAGCGAGAAGTTGAATGATGCGAGAAGGCGATATTCAACTTATGATAAGGAGTTCTATGCACTTGAATTGTATCAAAGAGTGGTGAAGTTTCCTTGCTGTTTTTCCTATATATTTCGGCCATATGGCCTTGTAAAACATATTCATTATATTCCATTTCTTTGCTCTTTGAAGTAATACTTGAATTGGTGTGAAGCCAATTCTCTCAATTTCCTGATGAAATATCTCTAAAGTCGGCTACTTTTGAGTGTGTGTTAGGAGTTTATTTCATATAATAATAGTGAATATTATTGTGTGAAAAGAAACATCCCCAAATAAAATAACAGTGTGTTTATCTCTTATTCATTATTTGGTTTATCCTTGTACAACAAAAACCACAAAAGAACTCTATTTTTCTCTCCCAATTTCATCCATCCTCTTTCTCCCATTTAAACACTTCATTTCTTCATCAAAAACCACTCCATAATATTGCATTTCTCCTACCCTTCATTCTGCCCTATCACCTCTTCTAAACAACCATACTTTCTTCACCATTTCATATACAAATCCAACCTATTCTTCACCATATATTCCCCTCTATAATCTGCCCTTATTTATCTGTAGCTTTTCCTAAGCTTGGGTACATCAGAATACCAATTTAATAATAACTGATTTGCTGATCCATTTATTCGGGTTACGCAGGTTGGGGTGTTACAACAACACTCCCCATGAAGCACTCTTTTCTACTCCCCCAAGCTAAATCTCATCTCCGAGTCTTTGGATTCCTTTTCTACCCTATAATACCTCCGCAATAGCAAATTATAAACTATGCTCGCGCTCGACTCGATGCATTTATCTTGGCACTCGTTTAATCAAGGTCGCTTTCGGTGTCTAGATCTTTCCACTAATATAACAATCATTTCCCAGATGTTTTTGTTATGAGCCCACTTTTTCTTTCACACACCCAACTACACCAAATAATTTTCTTTTTCATGACTCCATGGAAGACGCTAACCCCTATAAACTTCACCACTCTACCTACGGCTCGCAATCCAAAAATCCCCCTACAACCCACCCCTTCCAAGTGGCCCAAATCCCTGCTTCTCATGCCCACGTACATTTGCTTCAGCCCACTGCCCACAGACAAAATACCTGCTCTCCCGACCCACTTAATCCCCACTCCTCATGTTACTCCCTTAGCCAAGCCCAGCTTCCTCGACCCACGTTCTCCGCAGGCCCCCACGGTCCAAAACACCTATCCCATGATCACTAGGGCCAAATCTTGTATCTCCCGTTCGCGGCATGCCCTAAACCTCAATACCTTGACCCACATCTCCCCCTTTCCCCAACACATCGTAGTGCACTAAAAGAACCAAACAAGTATGATGCAATGTGTGATGAATTTAATGCTTTGATAAAATATAACACAAAAGAATTAGTACCCCCCCTCCTCCCCAAACCAAAATTTTATCTCTTGCAAATGACTTTTTCATCACAAATTTGGCCTCAGAGGTGATTTGTCCAAGTATAAAGCTCGATGGGTGGTTTGCGAGTTCAACCAGTATTTTCGTGTTGATTACAGTGAGACGTTCAACTCGGTTATTAGAACAGCCATAGTCCATATTACACTCAATCTAAACTTCTCTCGGGGGTGGTCCATATACACCAGCTAGACGTTAAGAATGATTTTCTTTTTGGGAACCTTGACACAACTATCTATGCTAGTCAACTGTTTCAGGATCCTTCACGTCTTCATTATGCCCACAAACTTAAGAAAACCCAGTATGGGCAATATGGGCTAAAACAGGAACAACACTCTTGGGTTTAGCATTTTGCAGGTTTGCTTTAGGAGATCGGATTTCATGGATGCAAGACGAATACCACTCTTTTTGTCTACACTCAGAAGATTAATATGGTCTACCTACTTCATGTGGATGATATCGTTTCCACTCTCTCTTGAGCTCACTTTCTTTGTCACATCACTCGGGCCTTAAAAGGGAAATTTGTCATGAGTGATAAGGGAGCTGAATTTGTTTCTTGGTATCAATGTTCACCGCCTAAAACTCAAGGGCAAACCTTATTGCTAAACTCCATGGTGAATATTTATAATTTCACATTCTCTAAAATTATAGAGAATGCACATTATTGAATAAGTATAGGGAAAGAATAATTAAATTATAACGAAATGAGAGTGAACAAGATTTATGTATATTTCTTCATACATTAAGTTATTTGTACCCAAATTTATTTGGATCGATTAAGCTATTCGTACCCAAATATTTGTACTCAAAATTGTACACCACAAATGTACACACTTTCATTTTGTGTCAGTATAATGTTAGGTGATGGTTCACACAAAATTAAAATGTTAGTACAATTTTTTTATTACAATAATATTTTGTGCCAGTGTGAATCATTTAAATGTTACTCCCTCCGTCCCATATCTTTCTTCTCACTTTCCTTTTTAAGCCGTCCCATTTGATTCTTCCCGTTTCCTAAAATGGAAATAAAAAACATCTAAACTTACCCTTTTACCCCTTCTTTTTCTCTCCCCCACCCACTCCCTTTTCTTCTTTCTTTCTTTCTTTTTTTGGTCAGACTTCAGTCCCCTTTTTTCTCTCTTTCCTCTTCTTCTCCCAACCCCTTTCTCCTTTTTCTTCTTCTCCATCACACCGCCGCCCACATCTTCTTCTTTTTCCGACCACTACCCACCCCCTCCAAATAATAAATCTCTTCATAATTTCGAGTCTGCATAAATCTCTTCTCTCCAAATTCCATGAACGTAACTTATCTCCACCGCTCTTGGTCATCGGCTTATGCAGACTCGAAATTATGATTTCCAGCAACTCTAAAGGGTCAGAAATCGTGGGAAACACATGGGCAGCAGTGATTGAGTAAAAATCTTTGATTTCAGTTTGGATTTCTTCATCAGCTCATTGCCTTTTTTTATCAATCGCAACTCTAAAATTGATTTTCTTGAGTGTTACTCCGTATAAGATTTGATTTTGATTTTTTTTAATCTTAATTTTATTTGTAATGTTATTTTAATTTTTAACTTGTTGAAAAAGAAGATATTTTGAATTTCTTGAAGAAGAGATGAATTGGTTGAAAAAGATTTATTAAAGACACTGACACTAGGCATGGGAACTGACGCAAAGAGAGGAAGGGTAAAAGTGGAAAGTCAATGCATTTTTCATCTTACATTAAAATTCGTGCCAAGTCCAAATGGGAAGTTTCAACTTGGACGGAGGGAGTAATGTATATCTTCAGGTAACTTTAGAGGACACTTTTACGTATGAGTAACAATCAAGGATCAATTCAATTTAAAAATGAATTATATAGTAATGTAGATTTTAAAATTAAAATTTTAATATTAAAAAATTAAAATAAAATATTCTACAAAAAAAAGAAGATTGATGGACCATTTTATTTTATCTAATTACCAATAAAAAAACATCACAAATACTTGTTAACATTTTCTACCCCTAAAAATGGCATCTACGTTTTCTTTTTACATATTTTAAAAAACACTTTTCACATACTCATATCTTTCTTGGCAAAGGAATGTGGCTTACAAGATTTTCTCTAACCAAAAAACAGAAAAAAATTCATACGTTTTTTTGTTGGTGATTTTAGTGTCATCGGTTTATTTTGTGTAATTGGATTTACTTCGATCGGACAAGAATTTAAATAGACGTTGTCAAACGAGTTTGGAGGCGCGGAGTGCGCTCGTTCAACGATATTATAAATTCACTGCGGGGGTCCGGGGGTGGCAACCCCCGAGTAGCGGGGTCCAATTGAAGTATTTCATATACCCCGAAATAACTTTGATCTGAAAGCGTTTCGTACGTGATTCGTTAATCTATAGAGTTCTTCGTTTAAACACTACTTCGCAGTGTTCTTCCTTAAAAAAATCCAACAAAGATCAAAGTTATTCATGAAGTTATATTCGAAGAACTCAAAGATGACGTGTGGCGATTCCGTAAGAGATTTGAGCAGCAAGTTCTCGAAGTTAGAAAAGTTCGAAGGCCAGGACTTCCGTCGATGGCAGAAGAAGATGCACTTCCTTCTCATAACATTAAAGGTCGTGTATGTACTGAGCACGCCTAAGCCGCAGATCATGGATGACGATACACTAGAACAGACGAGGAAGCGGTGCAAGTGGGAGAACGATGACTACATTTGTCGAGGACATATTCTAAACGGTATGTCTGACTCTCTGTTTGATGTATATCAAAATGTTGAATCTGCAAAGTTACTTTGGGACGGTCTAGAAGAAAAGTACATGCCCGAGGATGCTTCAAGCAAGAAGTTCCTCGTCAGTAACTTTAACAATTATAAGATGGTCGACTCTCGACCGGTCATGGAACAATACAATGAACTGTTGAGGATCCTGGGCCAGTTTGCACAACATAACATGGCAATGGATGAATCCATATCTGTGTCTAGTAGTATAGACAAACTGCCTCCTTCGTGGAAAGAATGCAAACGTGAGTTAAAGCATAACAAGGAGGAAATGAATCTGGTGCAACTTGGAACCCATCTTCGGATTGAGGAGTCCATCCGAGATCAAGACGGGAAGAAGGTGAAGGACATAGATAGTCCATCGTCCATCAACATGGTCGAAGACGAAGGTTTCACCAAAGTGAAGAATAAGTCAAAGGGTAAAAAGCGCAAGTCCGGAAATACACCCAAACCTGCAAATAAAAAGGCTAAAATGGGTTGATGGAAGTGTGGGAAACCAGGCCACTTCAAGCAGGATTGTCGGATTGGCAAGCGGGACAAGGATACAAGTAAGAGTGGTTCCGGTCAAGGAACCAAGGACCAAAACAAATCTGAAGGTCAGATTATTCCACTCATCAATGATTCGGTTAAGAATTATGTCTCAATTATATCTGATGCATTTTATGTGCAGGATGATGACATCTCTTGGTGGGTTGATTCGGGGGCAACATGTCACGTGTGCAAGGACAAAAGATGGTTTAGTTCGTTGGAATCAATGGACTATGGATCAGTGTTGCGCATGGAAAACATAGCCACCGAACCTGTCAAGGAAATTGGAATAGTAAAACTTGTATTCACTTCCGGCAAAAGTGTACCCTTAGATAATGTATTATATGTACCGGGTCTTCGTAAAAATCTTATATCGGGGATTGTATTAAATAACCATGGATATAAACAAGTATTAGAAAGTAATAAATATATTTTATCTAGACATGGTGGCTTTGTAGGTTTTGGTTATTTATGCAATGGCATGTTTAAATTAAGTTTGAATGTTCCTTTTGGCATGAATGATGTTTGTATGACGACTACATGTAATGCCTTAAACAAATCTGTTTTATGGCATGCTCGTTTAGGTCATGTACATTATAAAAGGTTACAAGATATGTCCAAAAGTAACTTAATTCCTACCTTTGACATAAACCAAGACACATGTAAAACATGTATGTTAACCAAGATAACTAGAAAACCGTTTAAAGAAATCAAAAGGGATTCTAGTATACTTGAACTCGTTCATAGTGACTTGTGCGATTTTCATGGAACTCCATCTATAGGAAATAAAAAGTACATGATCACTTTTATAGATGATGCCTCTAGGTTTTGTTATGTATATCTTTTACATGCTAAGGATCAAGCATTGGAAACTTTTAAAGTGTACAAAACCGAGGTAGAATTACATAAAAATAACCTGGTTAAAACTCTTCGGACAGATAGGGGAGGAGAATATTTTGATCCAATTTATTTTCAATCTGTTGGTATAATTCATGAGACCACTGCTCCCTATACACCACAACAAAATGGTGTAGCCGAGCAAAAGAATAAGACCTTAAAAGAAATGGTAAACTCTATGTTATCTTACTCGGGTTTGAGTGAAGGATTTTGGGGAGAGGCTATGTTAACGGCCTGCTATTTGTTAAATAGAGTTCCTAACAAAAGGAGCAAAATTACTCCTTATGAAATTTGGTATGGGAAGCCACCAAACTAGAATTATTTAAAAGTTTGGGGTTGTAGGGCATTTGTATGACTCCTAGAACCTAAGAGGAGAACCTTGGGTGAAAAAGGCATTGATTGCATTTTTATTGGATATGCACAGCATTCTAAGGCTTATAGATTCTACGTTATAGAATCTAATGACTCGGTGGGAGTAAACACCGTGATCGAGTCAAGGGATGCAATCTTCGATGAAAATAGGTTTTCCTCAATACCTAGACCAAGAGATATGGTTCTAGGTGATTCATCTATACCAAACCAAGATGACTCTAGTAGAGACATAGTTTCCACTAATGAGTCGTTCGTTCCTACGAAAATTAGGAGAAGTAAAAGACGTAGAGTTGCCAAATCCTTTGGCTCAGATTTTCAATCATATCTAATTGAAGGTTCTAGGGATGGAATTTTATTTCAATATAAATATTGTTATAATAATCAAGCTGATCCTAGAACATATAATGAAGCTATGGCTTCAAGGGACGTGGCGTTTTGGAAAGAAGCTATTCAAGATGAGATGGACTCTATCTTGCATAACAACACTTGGAAATTAACTAACTTACCTCCTGGATGCAAACCTCTAAGATGTAAGTGGATCTTCAAGAAGAAGATGAAAGTAGACGGTTCGATCGATAAGTTTAAAGCAAGGTTAGTGATACAAGGCTTTAGACAAAAAGAGGGAATTGACTACTTTGATACCTATGCCCCTATTGCAAGAATTTCAACCATTAGGCTGTTGATTGCCCTAGCGGCTATACACAATCTTGTGATTCACCAAATGGATGTAAAAACAGCTTTCTTAAATGGTGAACTAGAAGAGGAAATCTACATGAAACAACCAGAAGGGTTTGTTATGCCAGGAAATGAGCATAAAGTGTGTAAGCTAGAGAAGTCACTATATGGCTTAAAACAAGCACCGAAGCAATGGCATCAAAAGTTTGATGATGTTGTGTTGTCAAATGGCTTTCTTTTAAACCAAGAAGACAAGTGTGTTTATAGAAAATTTGATACTTCAGGTAAAGGAGTTATAATTTGTCTATATGTTGATGACATGTTGATTTTTGGAACCGATCAAAATCAAGTAAATAAAACAAAAGAATTCTTGTCATCACATTTTTCCATGAAGGATCTAGGGGAGGCAGAAGTAATTCTAGGCATTAGGATAAAACAGGTGAACAATGGGATATGCATTACACAGTCTCATTATATTGAGAAAATTTTGAAGAAATTCATTTTTGAAAATTGTTCTCCGGTTAACACCCCTATGGATCCAAGCATTAAACTTTTGGCTAATCAAGGAAAGGCCGTGTCTCAACTTGAATACTCAAGGGCTATTGGTTGCTTAATGTATGCCATGGTTAGCACAAGACCAGATATAGCATATGCCGTTGGAAAGCTTAGTAGGTTTACTAGCAATCCTGGTACACACCATTGGCAAGCTATACGGAGAGTATTCAAGTACTTAAAGAAAACTATGAATTATAGTTTGGTGTACAGTGGAGATCCAAGTTGGATGCAAGTTGGATCACTAATATGGAAGATTTCTCCTCTACTAGTGGATGGGTTTACTTACTAGGCGGAGGAGCAATCTCATGGGGATCAAAGAAACAAACTTGCATCACTACATCGACAATGGAATTTGAATTTGTTGCTTTAGCATCAGGCGGTAAAGAGGCTAAGTGGTTAAGAAATTTGGTATATGAGATTCCATTGTGGCCTAAACTGATATCAACAATATCTATAAGATGTGACAGCGCTGCGACTTTGGCTAAGGCATATAGCCAAGTCTATAATGGTAAGTCTAGACACATGGGTGTTAGACATATCATGATCCGTGATTTGATCAAAAATGGTGTGATATCGATTGAGTTTGTTTGAACTCAACACAATTTAGCCGATAATTTAACTAAAGGGTTAAGAAGAGATCTCGTGCAAAAATCGGCTAAAGGGATGGGATTAAAGTCCATTTGATATCTCTCGTGTTAAGATACCCAATTCCCACCTAATATGATGTTAGGTGTAGAATTCAATGTGGAAAGCTTAACATCAAAAGATTGGAACACAACATTAGCATCATCCAAAGGTATGTGTTCAGAAATGCAAGTTAAAGAGGTTGAAGTTAATCTTCTTAATAGTTCTTTTGAAAAATTGTATGTGCAGGTACAAGACATAAAAGAACTACCTATAGGAGTATGAAGTTTAGCCGCTTCACAAAGTTTGGACTTGACTTTTATATGCTCGTTGAAGGATAGGGACACAAGGCTAGTAAAATACGGTGTCAAGCTTGGAACAAAGAAGCACTTAGAGCTTATGTGTATATTATCTTCATGTATTCATATGAATTGCAAGGGTTCAATCCTTAGAGGCACCTCGAAATTCAAATATTTGGAATGTGTAATATACTAAGATGAAAATTCAATCGTCGCGACATTTTCATTTATGCATAAGTTTGTTGAATCTGTTATCTCAAGAAGTAAGTCATGGATTACACTAAAATTGGGGAGGAATGTAGGTAATTTTAGTGTCATCGGTTTATTTTGTGTAATTGGATTTACTTCGATCGGACAAGAATTTAAATAGACGTTGTCAAACGAGTTAGGAGGCGCGGAGTGCGCGCTCGTTCAATGATATTATAAATTCACTGTGGGGTTCGGGGGAGGCAGCCCCCGGGTAGCGGGGTCCAAGGGGCAGAGCCCCTGACCGGGGTCGAGCTTAAGATTTTCGTGAAAATCCTTAAGATTTTCGTGATCGGAGTCCAAATCATTAAAGGACTTGAACTAGTGGATAAACGTCAAAATATACTCTAAAACCGCAGGAGGCTCTTCAAACTCGCGCCTATCTTCTTCCCCACGCGAACGTACGCGTATGTCTACGCGAAGGATCATGTCCGATCATGGATTTTTCGACTCTATAAAATAGAGTCTCGTGGTATGGATTGGGGAACAGATTTTCGATTGCTTGTTCTTGATTAACGTCTTATCCGATTGAAGTATTTCGTATACCCCGAAATAACTTTGATCTGAAAGCGTTTCGTACGCAATTCGTTATTCTATCGAGTTCTTCGTTTAAACACTGCTTCGCAGTGTTCTTCCTTATAAAAATCCAACATTTTTAAACATCTTAACTTACATAAAACCAAAAAAGTGTAATAAATTTTTTTGTGACACAGAGTTATTCAAACATACATTCACATACCAGTGCTTCTTTGGTCTATCTTGGGTGCATGTCAATTTTGTGGACCCTTTCACATAATTTGTTTTCTTTTTTTATTTAAAAAAAACAAATACTTATTTAAGTAATAATAAAATATTTATTTTGCTCATATGTAGGTTCCTGATAAACCTTAGGTCTATCATAAGATTTGTCTTCACATACATGTGTTGAGGAACATGCATATAGAAGATGATTCATTGAAGCAGCGGCTTTTGCAATTAGAGTACAGTGCTTCTATGGTGCACATTATGTGTATATCATCTTTGTAGATGCTCTCAATAAACATCTTTTTTATAAAAATTTTTATTAAAAAATATTCTTATTTAAATATTAAAAAAGTTTATTTTATTGATATGTAGGTCTATGATGGACCTTATCTACCATATAATATAATTTTCATTGCAATTAACAAAAAACTGTGCTAGGCTAACCCCAAAAAGGTGATCCCAATCATCATCTCAACCTTGGCATAGACCACGTATCCATTATTATCTGAGTGACACAGACAACAAGATCAATGTCCTCGATCTCTCTAAAGCATGAGATCATCCTTAGGGTCATTGCTTTGAGGTTATTCCAGCTTTATTGATTAACG